GCATTTCAAAAGAGACTTGCATGGATAATATGACATATCCATGTAATTTGATTTTATTATTTATAATTATTGCTTATTAGTTTTAAAACCACTTGTTATTATTAATAAGTGAAAGAAACTTTTAAAAAACACTTATTGTTATAATTAAAATGTTAAACATATACTAAAATATAAAGTGATAAGATAGACAATTTGCATTTTAAAAAAAGCTTACATGTATAATATGGATAATATGACATATTCATGATTTTTAATTAATTATTGTTTTGAAGCATCACGAACATACAAACATGTATACAATAGTTAATTAAATATTATATATATCATCTTCCATAACATATGATCGATAACCTGAATCTAATCTAATTTACATTAAAATTTCAACCGCGACATACAATGATATTCTTAAAAGAATACTTAAATCAAGAAAATACAAAGAAGAATTAGTATATAACAAACTTACAAATTAAAAACTTCAACATAATAACATGGCTCGAAAAATTGTTCAAAGCCCTCAAACCAACACAAAAAACTTTAAACTTGTTTTCTTTGTGAATTTTGTATGTGATTTGTATTTGTTTGTCTACTAAAAAAGATTGACCTTTTATAGTAGAGTATCCATTAATTGTTTATTAAATATATTATATAAGTTATAAAACCTTTGATTTGTTAATCATTATTAAGAGATTTTTGAGTGGTATTCATTAAAATAGGAGGTTTCAAATGCATGAGGTGTTTGCAAATTTTTATGGGGGTTGCAAATGCATGAGGTTCAAGGAAAAATGCTAGCTTTATAAGTATGTATGTATATATATATATATATATATATATATATATATATTATATATATATATATAGAGAGAGAGAGAGAGAGAGAGAGAGAGAGATAGGTTCAAATATTTCTAGCAACTAATGTATGCCTAAATGCACCAATGAGAATTCAAGAATAATAAATCATTAAATAAATTAAAAAAGGGTATAATGGTAAACTTCCTATATCTAACTATGGTAAAAAAATATTTCAATTAATCTCTCCTTAATTATTTTAACCCTACAAAGCCAACATCCCTAACCTTAAAGAGTACGGCGGCTTCCTCAAATCATCGATACCTCTATTCCTCCTTTCCACTAGAAATCGATCCTTACATCTGAGCACCACCGTCTGCCTATTATCCGCCATCATGACAACAACTTCTAGATCCTCTATTCAACTACTCTTCTTCCACAGCTTCATGTTCGTCGGCCTATTGTGATCAGAAAGAGGCTAGAAGTGAGGGTTCGGTGGTGCTGGTGGATCGTTAGCATAGGCGATGGAGGGGGCCGGCAGCGCAGGGCTGCTCCCCTCGGCTCCATTCTTCTTCTGGTCCGATCGTCTTGAAACACAAGGGTGGTTGCAAATTGGGAGTTGTAAGGCGACAGTAAGTCGTATGGGGTGGTGGCAATCGGCAGGTGGGTGGAATCGGTGATGGAGGAAGCTGGGCAACAATGATTCAATCAATAGGTAAAGGCTCTTTCTTTTCTTTTTGTTCTTGTTTGATTTGGCAGAACTACGTAGGTGTTCGTTTGATTAACAATCGATGGATGTTTGTAGAAATGCCTCAAAGAGAATTTGGCAGCTTTGTTGTAGAAATGGCCTGAAAGAAAATTTGATTTCTATGTTACACGCCAGGTGTTTGTAGAAATGCCTCAAAGAGAATTTGATGTTCAAATTCTTGAAGAACACAAAAATAATTCTAACTTGGTTATTTGTGTTACTTGGTTCTAACATGTGGTATGTTTATTTGTTAATTGCCTGAAAGAGTATTTCTTTTATTTTCTTTATTAAACCTTTTGATATGTTTTTTTGCTGTTGTTATTAACTCCTTATTTGTTAATTATCTGAGTAGCATCAATCTTTGCTATTGGTATTTGATTTTTTTAATCAATTTAGGATGAAGATTTGATTAACGGTTTATAAGAGATTTTCACAAATTTGAGATAGTTTAGAACTTAAACATTATATGAATGAGAAAACTCTTCTCAAAAGCATTTGTAATCACCTGATTAAATAAGCAATATGTGGAAAATATCAAAATCTAACCGTCTAATATTTGAAAAATATTAAACTTAATATGTTCCACAGTTCACAATTTTATAATCTTGATTTAGTAGCAAATTTTATGTATTCTGTCAGAATGTATTCTATGTATTCTGTCATATTCTATGTATTCTTCCAGAATATATAAAGTGCTAGGAATTGCAAGTAACATTCTAGTAATTCTGACAGAATGCATTTATACATTCTACGCTTTAGAATGTTTATATATAGAGAAATACGATTGCAAATGGCAAATCACATGCTTTTAATTATTTATAGTGGCATGCAAAGTTATAACTAGCAGATTTTATTCTATGTATTCTGCGAGATTGTATTCTATGTATTATGCAAGATTGTGTTATGTATATTATACCGGAATGAATTATATGTATTCTGCCAGAATGTATAAATTAATAGGAATTGCAAGCAACATGTTTTTAACCATTATTAGTTTTTGTTGCATTTGTGATAAGAATGGTCGGAAGAATGGCTTGAAGACCTGATAAGAATGACTTGAAGAATGAGCCAAAGATTGATGACACTCACAGTTTAAGAATGTTCTTATTTTTTAAGAATTACACTTGTATTTATTCATTAACTGTATATTCAAGAATGCTGATTTTTTATGATATTCTTTTGAAATATGTATAAATATATTAAAATGTATAAGACTATTAGTATGTAAGAATATGAATGAATTTGTATTTAAGTTCGAATGTATATAAATATTAAAATGTTGTTATTCTTCAACTAGGAGTTCAAGAATTCTGTTATTCTTCATTAATATTCTAATAGAATAAAACTCTGAAAGAACATCATTCAAACAAAAATCCATTCTGACGGAATAAAATCGGTTATGTTTACAAATTATGTTTAGAATTAATTTAAAAAATTTAGATTTTTAAAATTAGGAGTGTTAATGATCCCTTAAAATCCGAAAATTACCTTTTTTAAAATAGGTTAATTGACCAAAATACCCTTTTGCTGAAATTTGTATGATTATATGGTACATGCTACTCTATTGTAATATCATAGACCCTCAGATCATGATCATTGATTCTATTCATCCGGTGGTCCAGATCTGTGCATTCTGACACACAATAGTTAGTAAAAAACAAAATAACCTAAGCCTATATATATATATATATATATATATATATATATATATAGGGAAGAGTTATTTGGAAAACAAAAAAACCCTAAAAATCATAAAAATGCATAAAAAAAATACTTAGAGATCACAAAACTTTTTTTTGAAATTTTTTTTGAAAAAATCGCAGCTTTTTATACAAAATCGGTGAAAAAAAATTTTTTTTTTACAAAAAAAAAAAAAAATGATTTTTTATTATTTTTTTCAGCGAATTTCAACAAAAACCTGCGATTTTTTATAAAAAAAATTCAAAAATATTTTTTGTGATCTCTAAGTATTTTTTTTATGCATTTTTATGATTTTTAGGGTTTTTTTTGTTTTCCATAGAACCTAAACCTATATATATATATATATAATATATATATATATATATATATATATATATATATATATATATATATATATAATTGGATGAACAACTATTGTGTGGACGTGTGGATAATGCTATTTTATGAAAATTACTAAGAGAATATGTTGTTTAGTAATGTGAATACGTTCAATCTCATAGAACTGTTGTTATTTTAATGGATTCTCACCAATTCTAATTCATTTTTGTTCTCATTCATCGTTTTTTATTTATTTTAATTCTTACAGAATACGACTCAATAAACATCCTGATAACATTCTGACAGAATGAGAATAATTAAAAAAAATATATAATAACCTTATAGACGATTTAATTAGTGAAAATGCTTAATAATTAAAATAATTATATAAGATTGAACGTATTCATATTATCGAAACAACATATTTTCTTTGTAATTCTCACGGAATAGCATTATCCACACAATAGATGTCAATCCACATTTGAACCTAGCTCTCTCTCTCTCTCTATATATATATATATATATATATATTATATATATATATATATATATATATCTATATATATATATATATATATATAGATATATATAGAGAGAGAGAGAGAGAGAGAAAACAACATGAGGGATGGGTTCCATTCCATTTTAGTGTCTTTGAATAAAAAGAATGCTAATAAACAATAATCAGATGCATTCCATGTGAAATTCTATTTCTTTGATGCATTTTATCAAACACCATATATGCATTAGAACATCAGCAAGTTTCGGTTATTATAGTAGATAGAATTCGACCAATGCATGGAAATTATAAGATTGATACATATATTGAACACATAAAATATAATCAGATGAATTACAAAAGAAATTAATCAGTAAATCAATAAACTAAAATTGCTAACCTTAGGAAGTTGGAATTGTATTCGAACGTGATGTTGCAAGTTAAAGCTTTGAAGAAAATGTGATAACAACCGAATAAGATTGTACTTATACATAAATCTAAACAACGATTTTGAAAATGATATTAAGAAAAAAATAATGTGATCGATATCACATTATTTTGAATTCTTTGATTCTTTGTAAATTAATGACAATCTACCATAATGTTGCAGATATGTTTTATATATTAGTTGTGAATGAAAGAATATGTGAAGATATCTACAATTTAAGTGATTTTAAAAAGGAAGGAATTTTACAATTATGTTGAGGTTTATTTACTTGAATACATTCCCGTTTACAAATTACATTACCATTGAAGTAGTGTAGTCGATTTTAATTACTTTTTTTTATTAAGAAAAAAGGAAGAAAAACCAAAATTTGTCAAGCAGAATAAAATGAAAATGAAAATTTTGAGAAAATTATGTGGCATATTAAATAAGAAAAAATTATTCTTGCTTATCACGGTAAGATTAGGTTACTTGAATTTTCCTTTTTCTATTATGGAGTTCCGTAAGATATGGGGTTTGGTATGAGATTATGAGGGCGTTGGGGATCGACAGTCTTGAACTCCAACCCACCTACCCTCTTCCTCCTCCATTTCTGGTCTCAATCTCCACTTCTCTACCTCCACAAAATCTTGTTAAATCAACCGTACCTACTGCGTCTTCTTGGTGTAAAAACACACACACAATTAAGGAAAATGGCGACTAGCATTAGCAAGGTTGCCCAGAATCTCCAAACTGCCAATTTCACTTCCAATCTTTCCAAATCCCAAAACCCCTCTTCAAAACCATTATCTTTCTTATCCTTTGGATCGAAATACAAAACCTCAGTTACTCAAATCTCTGTTTCTTCTAATAAAAACTTTGGGAGAAAATCCTTCACCGTTTCTGCTTCCGTTGCCACCACGGAGAAGCCATCGACGGTACCCGAGATTGTGTTGCAACCCATCAAAGAGATTTCCGGCACCGTTAATTTGCCCGGCTCCAAGTCTCTGTCTAATCGGATTCTTCTCCTCGCTGCGCTCTCTGAGGTAGTTTAATTTGATTTGATTCAATACACACACGTACAATGGAAATAGCTCCTCTTTGACTTTGAAAGTCAAAATATCACTTTTAAGCTTCGTAATCGATATCGTTTTTAAACATTTTGGATCATAAATTGCCAACCAATTTAAATTTAAAATTCATAATCAATACTACCAATTAGATGACGTTTATTTCAATAATGCAAGAAGTTTATGGCTTTGCTGCATTTAAAACTTAAAAGCACTTATTTATCTATACTGTTGATCAGTACATAGAGTATGCTTTAGAAAGCTTAAAATCTCCTGCAACCATTTGTGTAAAATTCATCGGGGTACTTGCGGGGATCATAAAAATCCTATAAAAACCTATCTTTAGCTTTCAATTCTGTGCGATACGAATCTGAGTGCATTACTTGATGCCACTTCTATAAAATTTTCCTCAGGGAACGACCATTGTTGACAACTTGCTCAACAGTGATGACGTGCATTACATGCTCGGAGCTTTAAGAACATTAGGGCTACGTGTTGAAGAAGATGGTGCAATTAAAAGGGCAATTGTGGAGGGTTGCGGTGGTCTGTTTCCAGTGGGTAAAGAAGCTAAAGATGAAATCCAGCTTTTCCTTGGAAACGCAGGAACAGCCATGCGGCCATTGACAGCTGCAGTCACTGCTGCAGGTGGAAATTCAAGGTATTTGACTATTTTCATATATTCTCTTTCAAAATTTCAGGTTGTATTCACATGGAAACTATTTCTATAACTTATGTAAAAACAAAATTCAAAATTTCAGCTATATACTAGATGGGGTTCCTCGAATGAGAGAGAGACCAATAGGTGATTTGGTGACAGGCCTAAAGCAACTGGGTGCAGATGTTGATTGTACTCTTGGGACAAATTGCCCTCCTGTTCGTGTAGTTGGAGGTGGAGGTCTCCCTGGTGGAAAGGTAAATTTAACATTTTTGTAATATTTTAGAAAATTGTAGCCTTTGTCCAATCGGAATCAGTTTGTCAAATTCATGTCCTTAATAATTATGTGTTTTGATATTTTACAGGTTAAGTTGTCGGGATCTATAAGTAGTCAATACCTTACTGCTTTACTTATGGCATCTCCACTTGCACTTGGAGATGTAGAGATTGAAATTATTGATAAATTAATTTCAATTCCATATGTTGAGATGACACTGAAATTGATGGAACGCTTTGGTGTCTCTGTTGAACACACGGATAGTTGGGATAGGTTCTTTGTTCGAGGTGGTCAAAAGTACAAGTAAGACCCTTTTTTTTTCTTGTTAAGTGATGTCTAGATAAATGATGTTTAAAAAAGAAAAGAAAATGAATGCACTATTTGTATAAAGTTAGGAATTTAAGGGATGATATTTGTTTAGGTCGCCTGGAAATGCTTATGTGGAAGGTGATGCATCGAGTGCGAGTTACTTTTTAGCTGGTGCAGCCATAACTGGCGGCACCATTACAGTTGAAGGCTGTGGAACAAGTAGTTTGCAGGTGAAAATGGCTACCCTTTATCTTTTCCAATCATATCATAAAAGTTTTAGATAGTTTTCCAAACTACCAAAAATATCATGTTTTTGTGTAAAATGTATATTTTGTAATTGACTTCCTGTGCTTCTTATACGTGTTTCTTTGTTTTTTTTTTTAATTAATTTAAGGGCGATGTTAAATTTGCGGAAGTTCTTGGACAAATGGGAGCCGAAGTGACATGGACCGAAAATTCAGTCACAGTGAAGGGCCCACCGAGGAATTCTTCCGGAAGGAAACATTTGCAGGCCGTAGATGTAAACATGAACAAAATGCCGGATGTTGCCATGACTCTTGCTGTGGTCGCCCTCTATGCTGATGGCCCCACCACCATTAGAGACGGTATGATAATAAAGTGTTGTCTTGATATAGATAATATCAAAAAGGGTAAATTTGTAAATACCTACGACTTAATGGAAAATCCCCTTTCTCTGACGTTCTCAATTAAGTCGTTCTTTATGTATTAAGTCAAAAAGAAACATTCGTATATAACTTAACAGATTAAGTTTTTCTATATTAGTTGCTAGCTGGAGAGTTAAAGAAACCGAAAGAATGATTGCTATTTGCACGGAACTTAGAAAGGTAAAATAAAAACTACCCTTTATTTGATCATATAATTAAAGCGTATATATCAAGAATTAAATTAACAATTTTTAAAAAATAACTCAGTTGGGAGCAACGGTTGAAGAAGGGGCAGACTACTGTGTGATAACTCCGCCGGAAAAGTTGAATGTGGCGGCGATAGACACTTATGATGATCACCGGATGGCCATGGCCTTCTCTCTTGCCGCCTGTGCGGATGTTCCGGTGACCATTAAGGATCCTGGTTGCACTCGGAAGACGTTTCCTGATTACTTTGAAGTTCTTCAAAGATTCGCCAAGCATTGATGCGGTTTTCTATGGGTTGTGGTTGTTTGATATTTTTGAAACTAAGTTTTGTTTTGTTTGTAAGGTGTAAAATATGTGATTTTTTGGACAATGATTTTGGTTATTATGAGATTTGAGTGTACGAATGAACATGAACATGATTTTCTGTAATGAACAAAATGATAGAGGTCTCGTTTGTTTATTTATATTTTTAAATTCACATTTGGTAATTTGTTTGTTATGTAACACTATATAGGTATGATTTTATTTAGACTCTAACATGAAGTTATGAAGTTATCTATTTTGATCATCTTATTGAACTTGTTTCGAATCACGATTTTTGGATAATATTTTTTTGGACTATGAATGTTCTATAAGTCCAAATTTGGGGGTGTTTGGATAAATAGTTTTTAGCTTATTAGCTTATTGTTTATTTGTTTATTGTGGTGGGAATAAGCACTTGTTTAAAATGTGTTTGGATTAGCTTATTGCGGTGGGAATAAGCAATAAACAATAAGCATGTTAAGTGTTTGGCAAACAAAACGGCTTATATGAGTAAAATGACCAATAAGCAATAAGCAATAAGCATTCATCCCCTTGCTTATTAAAATCAGCTTATTTAGCTTATTCCTACCGCAATAAGCTGATTTTTAAAGACTCCTATCCAAACACTTAAATTTGCTTATTGCAGTGGGATTAAGCAATAAGCAATAAGCAACCTATTTTTTTCCCTATCCAAACACCCCCTTTGTATTTGGTGTTCATTTATTTATCTATTCATGAACATGTTCTCCCAAGTATTTGTTCGTTTATGTTTATTTACCATATTATCTATTACACACGAAAACAGAAAAAATATGTTTGGTTTAGCTTATTGTTTTGTTAAATTTAAACAAACAACCACATTTATGTTCTTTTAGTTTGTTTACAACAACCCTAGTTTTTAACCGGAGATTATGTTGATGTAATGTAAGTTGAACATGTTCGGATTAAAACTAACAATCTTTTAATATGTATTGAAATGAGTTTGGCTTGGGTTTCCAATTAACAAACTATTGTTCATTAACCAGACTTCACTTTTAAATAAATGAATAATATTAATCTCTCATCTCATTTTCATGCAAGAAAAATCAACTTCAAGTATCAAGGAAAAATACCGGCTATAAACATTTTTTGGGGTTGAATTCCAAAAAATAGACAAAAAAAATCGTATTTCCAGGTATAGACATGGATTCCGCGGAGGTGAGCTCCGAGGGCTCTGCGGAATCCACTGTAGCTCTGCGGAATGGCAAAATCGTAATTAAATCAAGGGTATTTACGAAAAAAAAGAGAAAAAAAACTCAATGAACAGTTTCACGGAGGTGCCTCTGCGGACCTCGTTAGCAACTACGCGGAACTATTCATTGAGTTTTTTTTTTTTTCATAAATACCCAGATTAAGATCGGAGGATTATAATGAGATTATTCCCTCATTTGGTCTCACTAAGTCAACATATCTTATTATTATTTTTTCTTTGTAATATTTATAAAACTGATTAATATAATGAGAAGGTTTATCGGAGGATTATAATGAGATTATTTCATCTTTTGGTATATTGAGGAGGATTGTAATAATTATAACTCATACGATTGATCAAGGGTATTTATGAAGAAAAAAAAACTCGATGAACATTTCCACGGAGCTGCCAACGAGGTTCGCAGAGGCACCTCTGCGGAACTGTTCATCGAGTTTTTTTTTCGTAAATACGCTTAATTTAATTACGATTTTGTCATTCCGCAGAGCTATAGTGGATTCCGCGGAGCCCTCGGGCCCTCGGAGCTCACCTCCGCGGAATCCATGTCTATACCTGGAAATTTGATTTTTTGTGTCTATTTTTTTAGAATTCAACCTCAAAAAATGTCTATATGTTAGGTGCATTTTGTGCACCTTTTTGCACACCTTTTAGTCCCATTTCATGCATCTATTTAGCATAATTGTTCTTCATTTTTCTTGCATTTCATCATATTCATGTTAGTCTCTAGAACAACCTTATTTGCACACTTTCATGTCTTTTTCAGGTAAACCGGAGCTTGGAATGCGCTTTGGGAGGTGCCGTGAAGCATTGGTGAAGATTTCGGGATGATCGGGCGAAGAACGAAAAAGTTGGAAAAATCAAGTTTGGATTCAGAGTCATAGGGGTACACGGGACGTGTTGGATTTACACTGCAAAATCAACACGGGCCGTGTTGACCAAAATAGGAGCTGTTGACCATGCTGAACACGGGCCGTGTCAGTTTATTGCAAATCAACACGGGCCGTGTTGGTTGCTGAACACGGGCAGTGTCAATTTAGCCTATTTTAACACGGACCGTGTTCGACCCAAAAACCAACTTTTTGCAGTTTTTCCTATCTTTCATATTACGGGATGAGGGTCATTTTTACACACACAGAACATATCAGAGCACATTTTTGAGAGGGGATTTCGAATTTTATTGCAAGGGATTGATCAGTAATCATTTGGAAACATTATTTCTCTTATTTGTAAGTTGTAATTGCACATTATTTCCATCTTTTATTCTTGTGATCTTGTTCTAGCCATGTGTGGCTAGAACCCTAGTTTCTCCAATTTCATGTTTTGACTTCTTGGTAGTGACTTCAATCATATGACCTGATGTTTGTTCTTAATTTCTATCTAGTGAATTTGATTTAGCTTTAATCGAATGTTTGATTCTAATTGTGATTCTTATTGGCCATTTGAACTAGTGTCATACCCGTCCGATGGACAGGTTGACAAATGTATAAACAATATATTGATTTATCTTATTTTTATAGCATATGTCTTTCATTCGTTCCTATATTAGCTATGTACATGACAAATCTACCCAATTATCTTTCTATCTCTTCAAATAATATCTATAATTATGTTGCATACATAACATAAAATAAAGAACACAATCAATTTAAGGCTCAAAAACTGAAATATTATTCAGTGTAGAGTTGAAAGTCAACATTTTCTATTTATTGGTTCAGATAAAACCATCGATAGACAGGTTGAAAAATAAAAAAACATTAGATTGATTTTACTATCTTCTATAGCACCCTTCTTTCATCCGTTCCCACGTTAGCAATGTAGAATGACAAATCCATCCAATTATATTGAAACAGTACATTGCGTCAACGTGGGAATAAAATAGTCAAAATAAGACCTACCTTAAATTACATGGTTAAAAGACATATCAATGTGGTTTCTCACTTATGAAATTATCGCATATTGTGCATTATAAGAAATTTAACAAAAACCTTTTATTAAAATAAACTTTAATACCAGATTTGTTAATTATACGACTAAAAGCCTAGTGTAATACCTGGATAGGTTAGCGAATAATTAAATTTTCGATTAGTGTTTACTCAGATAAACGTATAGAGTTATGCATCTTTGTATATTATCATTACTTATTCATTTTTTCCATATCGACACTACTATTTAGAAGCAACTTTTACCGGCCGGAAAAAAATTCTTTAATAGCAAGATACTTTGACATAAAAACAATAAGTTCTATATACTTTATATCTTCACCTATAGAGAACTACATTATAAAGTATTGGTCCAAATGATCAAATGTGTTATAGAAAAATATGTAGTTTTTTTGTCATGTATGTCGTGAATGATACATTTTATCTTGGTGTTCTTCCTAAGCCCACTTAAAAAAGATAGATGACTTTGAGTCTCATCACTGTGTTCTTTTGCTATAATACAATGATTTTAAAGTAGGATGCTGAAATAAACAAATAAATACAAGTATGTTACTATTAATTTCATATCATCTACATATCCTACTTGTTTCCATAATCGGATAAAAATTCGAATGCAGTAGATGCAAAAAGAAAATGCAATTCACAATAGTAACCATTTAAAAGCTCCAAAGCTCTAAAATGATTCTTAATTCATACTTTTGTTAAAGAATGATACAAAATGGATCAATATATGATAAACAAAAAACATACCCGAAGAGCTCCACCATGTATTATCAACTCATCTCACATATAAATACTTTGAAATGATGAATATTATGATTTTTTTTTTTTGGTAAACTAAGAGTTAAATAGCCATTTAGTAGTATTCACAAGGTTTTTTTTTTTGGTAAAGTAAAAGTTAAACAGTTAATCATTACATGTGCATTTTTTTTGCTGGCAAGTGTACTGCCATGGTTGAGCTTTACTAAATGCATTGTTTAAATTTGAATAAATGATTGTTTAACCCTCATGTTTAAAAAATGACAAATAGCAAACACGAAAGTACAATACAGTAATAAGAAAAAAAATAGAAAGTGTTTTGCTATTCATTGTATTTTTTTGAGAAAATCTCAAGTTTTATATTTACAAAAAAGTGTACATTGTTGCAAGTTTGACACAAGCATAAATTTGCTCTATAACTGTTTCAAATCGTTGAATGCACGAATAGAAATATGTGGTTTTAAGTTACAGTGTTGTTAATTAAATTTGATTGAAATAAGTAATCTAACCTTTCAAAGCAATTTTATAAGTTTTATGACAGTAAAATATGGAAGTAAATTATAAAATTAAATCATAACCTTTTCCATAGTAAATAAAGGAAAATACATTGCAAACAGTATATATATATATATATATATATATATATATATATATATATATATAATATAGAGAGAGAGAGAGAGAGAGAGAGAGAGAGAGCTAGGTTCAAATGTTTTAACTAAATATTGTGTTATTGTATGCATAAATGTGGGCCAATCAAAATTAAATAAAAAATTAAATAATTAAATAAATAAATAAGGGTAATTTAGTAATTTGCTTAATAAATTCCAAAAATAATCCCTATAATCATGGTATCTCTCCAGTTTAAATCTCGTTCTCCTCTTTATCTAAAAACCGATTCTGAAAACCCTAGAACAAATCGACATCAGCGACCCTTCATCGTCTTCTTCATAGATCGGGAGAGGGAAGAATCGAGCAATCAAGCATCGAACAGAGGTGGTCTTGGTGGTGGTATTGGGATCTTCCGTCGGGATTGTTCGGGAAATCTGCTTCAAGCCCGGTATGAAGATGAGTTCAATTCCAATCCCCCCTCGTTTGTGTAAATGACTGAATTTTCCAAAACCCTAGAATGTTACAACCAAGGCCATCTTCTCTTTGTTGATCTGCTCACTGTTTCGACCTGCCATCTCTCTCGCTCGACTCTTTGAT